TACAGACATACACACCTGTCTGCCTATACACACCCCCCCCACACACACAATTGTTATGATCTGTAATGCCTTCCATAAAATATTCCCGAAGAAAAAGGAAGAGGAACTCTTTATGAATATGTAATACTTTTGTTAAGAGTGATTAACAAATACGTGCTTCTGACTTGACTGAATACTTCACTGCAGTGTTCAGAGCTAATATATACACCATCCAGAGTTAAGTTTGCTCAAGTAACCATCACTGATGGGCCTCTGGGCAGGGAGCTGTTTTACTTGTCACTTAACCTGCAATAGTAATAAAAGAATGGCTTACTTAAGACAAATAGGAATTTCAACATTGAGCATCTGTTTTTTTTTTTTTTTTAAACTGCCCAGATATTTGACTTAGTGTTTTCTTAATACAGCTTTTATTTTCTAATTTTTCTAGCATTTTAGTGATTTTATTTGAGTGATTCAAATGTGATTCTGCTATCCTTATTCATTAAGATTTTTCTTTAACCATAGTTTCATTAATGTGTCTTAGAGTATTAAATGATATTTCTTCTTCTATCTATTAAGATTCTACTGGGTAATTTTCCTGTGTATATGTTTAAAGGCCTCCTATACTGATAAGCTGGGATTAAAAAAAATACCTAGTTTACTTTGGCTGGAATTATTGATTAACTAGTTGAACTACTCTTAGCTGCATATTTTTTTATTATTATTATTATCTTAAGAAGGGTTGAGACAAAGCCCTTACCTGGAGTTTTCAGACAATAGTGAATGCATAAAGTTTGTAGATGCTAGAGATTGTTGTGAAACTGTTAAAAAGATATTTCTGTGAATGAAACATTAATGACCATCTAACCAGATTCCAGAATGATAATCTGATGTGCATATTTGTGTGCGGTTTTATTTCACTACTATAATATATTCTTTACGTTACCTTATTTTCCTCACAGAGACTTCCTTTGCCTTACTTGATAATAGAGCTCACTGCCAATTTGTTTACATTTTACCCTTTAACAATAATCCAGTGAATTAAATGGAGAAAAATCCTTAATGTATTAAAGGTATCATCACTGTAAAATGAGTACTTTAGATTCGGAAACACGTGTTCTAGAGCCGTCACATGAGTACTGCTTTGCACAGCATGGAACCAGTAAACCACACATAAGGTTTAAAGAGCTTATTGCAAACAACTAAGCTGAAAAAATGGTGGAAACCACAGAGACAGAAACTGACTACAAAATTTTGTCTTTTTGAAGTTTGCATTTTGGAGAGGAATCTATGTGAAATCACATTTCATTTCTCCTCAAAATGAAGAGATTTGAAGCACATTTTGATGCAAACCTTGGGCTTGGGTTGAAGCTGAGCTCTGATGTCTTTCTAAAGACCTGCCTGTCCAGGCAGAGAGGCCTTCCATGGCTCATAGGAGAACCAGGCCACCATAGGCCTGCACAACTGGATTCTCTTCCAGCTCCTTATAGGGAATAAATTTTCACATAAAATGGTTTGGGAGTGTACCTGGGGCATATCAGACTGAGGACCTAACCTACCGAGAGACTTGGAGTCTAAGTCATCCTCAAGAAGGGACTTCCTTGGCTAGTCAGCATCCAGACGTAACCTAGTAATGACACCTCGAACCGTGTCAGGCAACCCCACGATTGCTGGCCGGCCTAGCCCAGGTGAGATGCCGCCTATACCGTTGTGAACCTCGTACTTGGAGAGGGGCGGTGTCCTCTGCCTGGGGCAGTAGCTTGTGGGCCAGACCTGTTCCATAAAAGCTACTTTCACAAAGTGGATGCTCTGATTCAAGAAATAAGAATTCCTTGCACTTGATAATGGTTCACAGTTTTCTAAGCACCTTCACACGCATTAATTCGTGGAATCCTCATACCAGCCTTTTACTAGAAGAAAAATGAGAAACACACATCTAAGGCTTAGTCAAAGTTTTCAGGTTCCCCGTTAAGTCTGTTGCTCTTTTCTGTACCTCAAGCTACCTTCTCAGAACACAAACTGATTTATTTTAAAAAGGGGAAAATGAGACGAGGAGACTTTTTCCTTGTTTGTCGTTGAGGATGGGAACTGTTTTGTTAGACTGGGAAGAAGAACACATGCAAAAGCATTCTGCCGGTGGCATAAATTAGATGGTAGATAATCGATCCACTTGGGAAGACTTTAGACGGTGGTATTTTGGGGATCGTGAAGAAAATAGCCTCTTGCAGACTTTGGTTGTGTGAAAATATCTGGAAGAAACCAGTCCCCGCCACCCTCCCTGCCAGGTTCCCTGGTCTTAAAGGTTTCTTTTCTGATTGCTTTGCATATTTTTTCTGATGAGTTTATTAGAGGAATTTTATTACTAACAGCTAATGATTATTTTCTGAGTTTCTAAAACTGATTTCTACTTTAGGTGTTTATTTATTCTAGTTTTATTTGTATATTAGTACAACTTTTGGAGGTGAATTTAGCGATTTCTGTTTTCTTGAGGGTGGTTTGAAAGCACGTAATTACAAAGCTATAACTTTTAAATGAATTACATAATTATTTCTCCTTCAATTTTTACACCTCCTGTGTAATTCTTTAGCCTCTTCTAATGTAAGATGTGATATTTTATTACAGTGTTTTAAAAAATGTACGAAGATCATATAGTAAATACATAATTAATCTGGTCAGAATGCATCTCTTTAAAACAAATCCCTTTATAATAAAATGAAATGGGGGTTCATCTTGATTTCAGGTTGAGTTACTTAATGCTTGATAAAAGTTTTTTTTTTTCCTCTTTTTTGTTTTTGGATCCTTTAAACATCATTCTATGACCTCACTTACAGGCTTATAAAGTGCTTCTCATTACTTGTCATCTTCTAAAAGCTACAGGACCTTTAAACCTAGAGTAGAAACATGATTCACCTGATTCCTACAAAAGTACGAAATGTGTAAAAAGAGTAAATCGTGGTACTGTGAAGACAGTGATTATTTATCACCAATAAGCATAAGTACAGAATAGCACATTAATTACTCATTACTAAGAAAACATTTATAGTACGTTAAAAATACATTCATTTGGGGGTTTTTAATATTATAAAATTGTCACTGAAAATTAGACCTTAATGAGTTATTCATAGATTTAGCCAAGGTCCACCAAAAACAAATCTAGCATATCTTAAAAACTCAGGGCTTTTCTAAGAAGGCCCACGTCGTGTCCTGAACTCAGTATAACTCCTTGTTTTCTAAGGTGATTTTGCCCCATGCACAAATTACTTCACCTATTTTTTTGTTTGGTTGGTTGCTTTTTTTTTTTTTTTTTTTTACAAAACTTTATTTTGGTTGTTTGTTTTTTTTTTTTTTTTTTTTTTTTACAAAACTTTATTTAACTTTACTTATTTGTTTTAATTTGACCAAAGAGGGACAGAGCAAGAGAGAGAGAGAGAAAGCAAGCAAGCCACCAGATCCAGGATTCGAACCAAGGTCAACCATGTGGGAATCCAGTGCCCTTAACCACCATGCCACCAGCTGGCCCCTTCACCTATTTGGTTTAACTGTGTTTCTCCATTTTCAAATGGGATGATCCTAGTAACTACGCAGGGTTGTTACACAGGCCAGGAAGTTAATGTACATTATTAATACAGTGCCCAAGGCATAATAAACCACTAGTGGGTGTCAGCTTTTGTTGCCCTCATTATTGAAACGACATCAAACTTTCATTTTGTGTATGTGAGGGTTGTGTGCTTGCAGGCAGCTCCTCATTCATTCAAGGGTAACACATTGCCCAGAACCCAAGGAGACTTGAGTTCCTGTAACCTAAAAGTACGATTAGATGCATTCGGCAACCTATAAAGGAACAAAACAAGTTTCATGGAAAATGTCTGCTCTACTGAGCAATCTTAGTGAAATAAAAAGCGAACCCTTGCCTTGCACCCGGTCCCCACATGGGAGGGTGAGTAGAAGCAGCTCCGATTCCGAACTGCCTCCCAGGCGCCGTGGTAATAAGGGAGTAGTACACTCTACCTTGATAAAAGCTATGCAGAAAGTAACTGCTTTTATTTTACCTCCTGTGCTATTTGCGGAGAAGAGCTGAAGAGTAGTTTGTTTTGCCTGGAATGAACTACTTTATGAATTTTAATGTGTGATATAATATTAAAAGCTAAACCAGGATTAAGGAAGATTTTTTTTTTTTTTGGTACTAAGCTAAAATAGTACTTAGTAGAGTGAGGTATAAAAGATTTTTGTTTCCATTTTTACCTGGGGAAAAATTCAGCTTTCATATTTTTGAAAAGCTGTCCAAGTCAGTCCCCCTTAAGCAATAGCTTGTGTTTAGGAAAAAATGTGATTTCAGAATTCTAATAGCTTATCTATGATAAGATGCATATCTTGGCCAACAAGATGGTAAAAAAGAGCTTTTCTAAATACTTTTTTTAATGAGTAATACAGATACATTTTAAGTTTTTTTCTTAATTGTACCTTCATTCTTTTAATGTTTCATGTGTACCTGTTTTCACTTTTGTTTTGACTGTTGGCTACTGGAATTTTTTTTTTTTTTATGACTTAGAATTCTTGCTTTTGGTTCAAGTTGTAATTGTTTTTGTAAAAGAAAAAAAAAAACCAAGAACAGTTTTAGAAACAAAATCACAGAGATAAATGATTATAGCCCACCTCAAAGATAAATTCTTAAATATAATTTTTACAAAAGAAGCCCAGAGTTTCCAGAGCCTGCTGTCTCAACTATACTGAGCAGATTGCTACCTAGGAACTGGTTCTTCAAGGGCACTGGACTCCCAGCCCCTCTATTTCCATAACATTCAATTTTCAAAGCGATTGAAATGGCTTTTCTCTCCTCTCTCATTTAAGCAGTGAGAAAAAATAGGTATTAAAAGGGACCCCATGGGGTGATCAAATCTATCCCTCTGCCTCTAAGCAAGACCACCCCAGAGCAAAGTTTTGAATCTCTCCAAAGCAACTTGGTAAAACGTTAACCCTTTAGGCCCCTACAGTAGCTTTAGGTATGGTTGCTTCCAAGTTTGTAGAGGCCTCCAGGAGAGAAGACAGCTTGTGAGTGCCCTTTGCTTCCAAGAGCCTCAGAGTTAGAGGGGAACTCGGGAGGTGTAGCCTAGACTGTCCCCTGGCCTTCTCCAGGTGATGGGGCGAAGGAGTCAGATGATACCCCCTGTCCTGCTTCCCCTGCTCTGTCCTCTTCAGGCCCGAGGTGCAACCCTTTCCCAGCGTTTTCCTCTCCGTGTTAGAAGGCTAGTCTCATAGTAGAAGAATCTACCCATCTCCCAAGATAAGAGGCCAATTACTGGGTCCTCAGAAAAGTCATGTTGCCTTTTTTGTATGAAAAAATATGACATGGCTTTTCCAACGACCTCACATTTTGCTAACTGACTAGACGTCAGAAGAATCTAGAAGTCAGGTATATTTTAAAGGGGGCTCAGTCTCCTGTTTTCTCCCTAAGCGCAGAGAAGTTATTTGCCAAGAGTAGCCCCTGTCCCTCTTTTCAAAATATGTGGAGACAGGGTGAAATAAAACCAGAAGACTTAGAGCTTCCCTAAGGAGATCTGTTTTTTTAATGCCCCCCAATATATACATATATATATATA